ACACACACACACACACACACACACACACGAGTATAACAAGAACAGTAAAGGATGAATTTTCCGATAAACCACGTCTATTGAACAAGACAGAAGGATGCTGCTTTATGTGAATATATCTGTTCTGTCTCCATTCAATAACAATGAGACAGTAAAGCTGCCTGCTCCACTGAGTTAGGGCCTCGCCAGCAGCCAGCAGGGTTGGCTCTGGTGGACACTGCTTAGGTGGCATTTCTTTTGTTCTCATTAAGAGCTGTAGCTTTTTATATTTGGACAGATATAATAACCTGGCCTGGTTAGAGCTTGGACACAAATTGCCAAGAGATGAACATTAGCATGTACATGTTTAAACTAATTAGTAAGGAAAAAGACTGAATTATTTGCTATTCAAGTTCACCATTTACTAAGTTAATGCCAGGATGCTTTATTGCAGCTTTTTTTAAATGATACACATTGAAAAAGTGAGTAATCTGAAGAACTTTTGGCACTAACTCATAATCAATACATACATTCTTTACTTTAAACATAGAAATCAGCTACAAGACAGCAACAATCCAGAAAAACAATAGTCTGGCAACTTTCCCTGAGTCAGGTAAATTAGTGTATATCTTGTACCTGGGAGCTGGAATGGACTGGAGGGCCCCGAGCTGGCCGGAGAATTTGGATAAGTACCACTGCTGGCTGGAGAAGGAGGATACGGCGAGTTGGGAGAGATGGGGAAAGAGCCTCCTCCACCTCCACCACCGCTGCTGCTGCCGCCCCCACTGTGAGGCTGCTGGAAGGACTCTGGAAAGGTGGCATTCAGGGGCATGTGTGGCTCATTGTGGGTGAGGTTACGGAACTGTACCAGCAAGCTATGCTGCGGGTTGAACTCGCTGTGCCGCGGTACCAGGACAGGAGGAAGCACTGGATGATAGAATAAAGGAGGAAAGTGGGTTTGTTGAAAATTAATCAAAACATCAAAACTTAGAAACAATCTTGACAATTAATTTAAGGTGGCAATGCTTACACAACACATCATAACCAGTAAACCTGGAGTGTATATATGTATCCTTTCTATTGATGAAAATTGAGAAATTCAACTAATACCAACAGACCCTCCATGGACATGCTCTTTGAAATGAAGCCACAGTGCTCACAGACGATGTTCATTAGTGGAGCAGCAGATTTTTTCTTGTTTAATGAATCGGAAGAAGAAACAAAAGCACTTCACAATGAACTACCACTTGAGATTCATAGGTTTCTCACAGGTTAATGCTACAATTTACCAATGTTTCCATAACACCTCATATGCAAGCTAGATACCTTGACACATAAGCTTCTATTCCCCACTCAGTTAATGCAGTTCATGCAACTCAGTCACATGTGTGGCCAAAAGTGATGGCTTGAAAAGGGTGATTTTATTTACATGTAGGCTGAGGTAAAGCTGGTAAACTGACAATAACATAAAACAACATTTTCTCAAAATGAAGAAGATGATATTGGTGTTTTTCCAAATCCTTAAAAATAACAAAACTTCAATTAAAACTAATTAATTGACAGTTGCACCAATTGATTGTTTCAGCTCTAATCTTTACAATAATTAAATCACTGTTGGGCCAGCAGACGTCACTATATTTCTTATCTCCCAGTACTTATTCTTGTGGCTGATGTGCTGGTGACATAAGACAGACAGCAAAATTATGATTCAACTTTACTGTCATTCAATGAGGGTAATTCTTTACAACCAATAACTTAAACAAAACTAAGAACTTCAACCATAAGAACACATACAACCTAAAGTATGTCTTGCAAGAGATTTACATAAAATAACCTCTGTTTATTTTAATTTTCAACTTTGTCAAAATCATGGTGTGAGTTTTCGCCAGCCTTGCATTTCATCTACTGACTGACCCTCAGTATTAAAGTTCCAATGCTGCCCCTCCACAATTACCAGCATTGGTTCAAATGATATGACATGCTGTCTCTCTTGACCAACATGTGATCCGTATCCTTGAACCAGTCAATACAGAGCTGGCAATTGCAGACCAGTCTAATGTCAGAGAGTTTGCCCCCGGGGTCATCCATAAATGTATGTGATGCAGTGTGTAAGTGACCGGGAGAAGGAGGGAGGGGTAGAAATGAGAAAGTGCTGGGAGTTTCGTCTGAGTGGTTTATGCATTTAGTAAGCCACTCTGATGCCACACCCCATCTGGAGTGCCTGAGGCATATAATCTAATAAGACTCCAAAAGAGCTAGTGATATTGATTTTCTGTGAAATGGAGGGGGTTGGTGGAACAAGCCCGTGTGATGACAGCCTCCTGACCTCAGTGGATTTGTTTACCAGCTCCACAGTTTACTCAGAGCTCTAGCTAAGGGATGTGCAAAGCTCTACACTGGTTTAATCTTTTCTGTTCAATCCAGTCGTTAAAAAACAGTGTTGCTGTTTTTCAGTTGTGTGAACAGAAACATTTATGCCATTAAATGTACATATCTAAGTATAACTTCAAATACAAGATGAATAACACACTTCAGTAGGTGTCTAACAATAATCGACTAGTAAAAAATAACAAATACCATATACCCTGACAACACAGGTACCTACCAGGGCTCTCCACTCGCTTGTAGTGATATGGGTTGATGCAGACCTCCTTCTGTTTGGAACCAAACGGGTACTCGCACACCTCCAGGGGTTTGAGCTCGTGGTGGGACTGGAGGTCGGGCCAGCGCCACACTCGGCAGTAGATGACGTGAGGCAGGCCTTTTCTATGGGAAACCTGTAGCCGGCCGTCCAATGATCTTGGAATGGTAACACACTTGCTGGGCTGTCCCGGGCAGCTCAGGGCTTTTTCCAGGTCCTCCATGGCACCTTTCTTTTTCTTCAACTTCTTCACAAGCGCATCCACAGCCTTTTCTGCCCATTTCTCCTCCTCGTCTCCCTGCTTCCAGCCAAGCAGCCGTTTGACTGCTGGGCTTGTGAAGGAAAAAAGACTGGACATGGAGGTCATGGCTGTAGTGCGGGTAACAGGCAGGAACTCTGTAGGATGGTCACTTCAAAAGGGACCGAGAGGTCTATGAGTCCCCTGCTGCCGATCTCCCAATAGTGTTAGTAGCCTAAACTGGTGTGTGAGAGTGTAGTCAACAAAATAAAGCACTTGAATGTGTGTTAGAGGGTACAGAGATGATGGGTGGGGTAGGGGAGAGGAGGCTTTAGCCTTGTCTGACCAAGGACAGGAAGCAGGGGAGGGAGGGGAGTCAGCAAGCAGGACGCAGCTGCTGCTGCTCAGGAAGGGCCCTGCAGCAAGCTGTCCGGAGCTGGGTCACCACCACTGATGGAGGGAGGGGGTGCAGGCTGCAGGAGCTGAGATCGGGACCTCTGTCGAAGTGACACGTTGCAGCAGGTCTCACTGGTGCAAGTCCACAGGCTTAGAAATAAGGTACTGACCAGTTCTCATCAACAACTCCCAACTCCTCTCCGGGCTGACTTCTCAAACCAAGTACAGTCAGAGTTTTACTCCATCGGCCACCTACAAAACAGAAAAGAGCGACAATATGTGAAACTGATTTGTCAGGCTTTACATTAAGGGGCCAAGAACTAAGCAATTGTAAGAGTTGAATGATAATTACAATTCAAATAAATTTTAAAAAGCATGACACAGCATGTGACTGACACTATTCTTAATCATCAGGCTGATCAAAAAGCCCTTTGTCCTCTTTATATCAGTCACATCATTTCTAAAAAGAGCCTCAGTCTTCCTCAAACTAAGATGAGTCAATTATCTGATAGGTGTTATATAGAGAACTTGCAGATAATGCATATGAAAAGACAAAACTCTTTGTGTCAAATACCCTAAATGGCATGTAAAGCTAGCAAGCTGCTCTAACAGACAATAGGTAGAATGATAATATTATGTATTAACCAATATAAAATGCTGTAGTGCCAATACACGGAACATATACATTTAGGTCCAAAGTAAACATACTGATCAATACACAAATTAAATTGAATTACACTGGTAGTACTCTTAGGTTATATTATTATATTATAATATATTATGTCATTTAAACTATGTTCAATGTATAGACTGAAACACATGCACAGAAAGTTAAAGATGTGAGGATGCCAGCAGAAATGGGCTTCATTACAATATAAAAGTATAGTTGTATCAATTAAATAGTTAAGAGTTGTTTGTAGATATGGTCACGTTAAGTGTAAAGGAGGCAGCCTACTGGCTGGTTTTTGGGCCAACAGACAGACAAATAATATTAATCTGATAAAAGTCAGATTTGTAAGAAAAAGATTAATGGAGAAACTCTTCTTGTTCTAGGTTCTCTAGTGTTTCATCAGCCACTTCTGTATTGCTCAACTATGACTCATAAAACAATAAATTATAGAATCACCATCTTAAAAAATTACATTACATCAGGAGGTCTCCAATGACTGCCCCTTTAAACTATTTCCACATGCTACTGCATTGTTACTGCGGATTTCGAACCGAAACAATAACCCAACTACATGTATGAAACCAATCATGCTGTGATATATGACACTTCAATCTATATCATGCGGCCGCAGCAAGTGGACAAACACATGTAGCCCACAGCAGCAGCTGTTTGGGGGGCTTGTGAAACCGGCCCCTGTCGAAAAGGATGTGACCACAAAGAGCTCCTTCCTCCCTCATCCCATCCCTCCCTTCCAGAACACAGCTGTCCAACAGCACTGCACCCACTTCCACTGCTTATTGTTCTACGTGCACATGAAAGAAGAGGGAAACCTAAAGTAGGACATGTAGGCACAGACAGCAATTATTAGCTTTTCTATGATCCAAGTTTCTCTTTTCTTACATTCACCAGTTTCAGTCGTTATTTCCACACAGCCTGCCCAGTCAGAGACCTCGCTGTGACTAGCCCTCTTTTAGACTGGATCAGCAGTGATTCATCAGTTCACTGCTGGGTGAGCAATGCCGAGTAACAGATTTCAACTTGAAGACAGGTCCGATCTGTTCTGTTGTGAAACATGCAGGAAGATATTGTTTGATCAACACGTGGTAGATATAACTCGCCTGAGCTGACGACTAAAGCAAAAGCTGATTTGAATCTCAATGACTAATCCTCCAGATAAAGTGGATCCCTCTCTACAAACAAGACTTCACACTGATAGTTCTTTGTGTTTTCCCCCATCAAAGGCTGAAAATGAAATCAACCTTGACCACACTTACAAAAGTCACATTGTGGAGCAGGGCTGGTGGGGAGAATGAAGCCCATGATTGACTGGCTAGTGCTTAAATTAACTATAGCCATGATTAGAGACGCTCTCCGACCACACTTACAACAACTATCGGTGTTTTCCACTAAAAGCCTGATCATATAAATTATACAAATTTGAAATAAAGAAGAGGATTCACTATGTTTAATGAGAAATTATGTCCCGAGAATTTCCCATATTGAACAGCCTTGCAATTTTTTAGACTACAATCCAAACAACATACGTGTAACTAATTTCCATGGATTTCAAATATTTAAAGAGTCACGTCATAATTTCGACTACAGAACAGATACCGAGATCAATTCTGTTCTGAAGCTCTTTCCAAAGACCTACCCACTCCTTACGAACTGGAAAAGAAGACACCTAGAGGTGGTAAACAATGAAATCCATCCCGAAATCTCTGATCCACTGGCCCGCATAGAGTACATGTTCATCACAGGTTGGACTCCCATGACTTACACGAATGAACACTGCCATCATCCTCGTGTTGATAGGACCCGCAAAAACGCTCTAAATTCATAACCTCAAGAATAGCACTTCGCTCTACTGTGTGAGATCTGTCTGAAAAACTTGACAAGCATGAAGTACAGGGAACAGAAAATATGGAAGAACGACTGGTAAGGAGAAAGCAGCCCCCTCCCCACCCAGGGAATGAGGAGAGGGACTCCGGGAGACGCATCGCACATCACACACGCATTAAAAATAACGTTAAGTGATGCTATTATTTAGCTGCGGCACAGAAAACGCAGAGTTACTGTGTAAAACATGAATTGAGCGGCATTAGATGACAGCAGCAAGCTAACGTAAGCAACCTCGAGGATTTGCTAACTACCTTAGCTAACGTTAACAACTTAGCTTTAAGTTACAGTCGCTTTTAAAAAACTGAAACTAACAGAGGCGAACATTAAAAGACACGGTTTCCTCTTGAAACTCTTACGTTGGGCGCCAAACCTCCACACCTCCGAGCGGCTGGCCTCGGTTGCTTCAGCCGCCCTCCTCTTCCTCCATTCCAGAAACTTTTTTGAACTTCTCGCAACTGAAGCTAAGCTATGCTAGCCGTTAGCCCAGCCCTGGGAAAGGAGAGCGGCGAGCCTCTGCGCAGCAACTACTGATGTAGCTCCCTCAAGTTCACCTCCGCGCTTTGCAACCCAGCAGCTATTTAATCACATACCTGTCCGGCGATACACGCGACCCGAGGCTACGTGTGTTCCCGTGAACGTCTAAGCTGCGGCTCCTACTCTCTTAAGGGAGTTCCTCTGGTTTTCCTCGGCTTCTTCCCTCTGTCTCCCCCGTGCCATGTCCTCCAGCTCCTGGAGACTAGTAGACTGCAGAGGCAGAGTGCAGATCACTCCGCCGTACTCACAAACTAGTGCTCTCTTTAGTGATCTTATGTTATATTTAAATTACTAATTTATTATAAAATACGAACATAACACCAGGAATATAAACGCTGTTTTATGGCATTTTAAAAAGCAATACAGTCCATGTCTAACCTCTCATTCATTCGCTTTTCTGGCGCATTGATCCGAGAATGTTCCGAATGAACAAACTTTGTCCACCTTTGACAGCTGCAGCAAAAATGATCGCGGTGATAAAAAGTGAAATTAAAAAACAGCGGAACGTGTATCACACAACACGATGTCTGCTCTGCTGGGCTGCCGACTGTCGGACGGAGAAGTTGGGAGTCTCACGGGGGTCGTGCTGCGGCTCTGGGACGTCTCACAAGTTGCTGGCTCCACTGAGTCTGGAGCTCTGCGGTTTGTGTATTGTTGTCCTTTGTAGTCGCGTCCTCGAGACTCCCACTGTTCCCGCGCTCTTAACGCGTCCAACTCTTCATTAGTCGAAGTAATAACGAAGTCCTCCACGTCTGATTCCACCGGAGGAACCGAGCTCCGCAGGGGGAAACGGTCCCGAGTCTCCGTCCCGTCGTCAGAGTCCGAAGTGAAACACGATGTTCACGTCCAACCGCTGGTGGGCGACCTCGGTTCAGTTGTGAGCAGCTGTGGAATAATCACCACATCCTCGTTTACTGCCACAGTTCAGAAAACTACAATCTGCTGCTTCCTGGTCGCTTCTCCCGCGCCGTGCGGACTCAGATCTGACAAGTGTGGTCGAGAGAAAAAACTAACACCTCCTGTCTCTGAAGGTTTCGAATTTGAAACCAGGACGTGCACTCAGCAGAGCACATACCTCAACCAAGGCCCGACACACTCTTTATGGAACCACATGTACATGAACTAGATCCAGATCCATTTTTTTTCTGCACCATTAAAGGTAAGATTTAGGTGAAAGGGATCTATTGGCAGAAATTAAATATGAGACATAACAGGGGTTTGGGGACACTGAGGTAATCAAGTGGACACCCTCTGAGATATTAAGGTCACTTTTCAAATTAACTTAAGATGGAAGGGAAACAAAAGGAAAATGTGAAAAGAACTAGAAGGGATACATACTTCCACCAAGGCCCAACAGTCCCATTAGTTTCTGTTAAAATTGCACCAAACGCAATTTCTCACAATGTCAAAGAAAGTGATACAAATCCCTGGATCCATTCCCTGATCAGTGTCCAAACCAAAATTTAAGAGGTTCTTTCCTGATCTATACCACATCCTTCCACTAAGTGTCATGTAAATCCACTGAGTAGTTTTAGTATAATCCTGTTAAGTAATAGACAAACAGAGGCAAAGGAAAACATAATCCTCTTTGCAGAGGTAACATTTTCTGTTCATAATCTGTTGCTTTGTAAAGTAGATGAGACGATCTCCCCATCTTCCCAAATAATGTAGTCTGTGGAATTACAAGTGTCCATAAACCTATGTATACATACTTAACACTGAAAACCCCTTTGTGATTTTTTTCCCCACAACTTTTATATTTCTAAGACCTGCAGGAGCGTTCTGCTTCATTTTCTTTTAAATAATCTGACTCTTTATTTCAATGTCTTCCTCCATTAGGAAAAACCTTTCAGTGTTGACTGTAATGATTTGTTCAAAAATGACCAGCAGGGGAATTGATTAGATGCTATTTTTATAGTGAGGTTGTGTCAACTCCAATGCCACGATGTTGCCGCAGTGCAGAGTTGAGTTTACATTGCTCTAATTATATATTCACAATGAACAGTAACATATAGGGGCTGTGGATCCTTTCAGGAAACTGCTCTCATACTGTATGTCTTCATGTTTCCTAATGCAATGTTTGCTATATAGAACTCCACCAGCCATGGTTTTAGGTAATCAAATATATACTGTATGTATAAAAATCTACTGATCCCACAATCTCTAACAAAGAAACATATCAATGGAAACATGCAAAGACAACTTTAATTTACAGACATATGTAAAAAGAAAAACTGTACAGTTTTAATTAATGAAACCTTGGAAAGAAAAGACAAAAAAAATCCACCCTCTTGTGCAGGCCTCTGTTTTAAAACTAACTCCCTTCTGCTGAGATCCTCCAGTGCTAAATGAGTAATTGTTGTTCCCAGTTTATAGCAACAGTTGGTGTTACAGCTGCCATATGTCTCACTGGAAAGTGATTCACAAAATACACATTTTGGATGGTCCTCACTGTTTAATGGGCTTTATATGAACCAAATATATTGTACATGTAGTTAGTGACTATAACGAGCATCGTTATAATTGAAAATTGAATATATTGTGGACTTTCAAGTTCTCAGAAGTTTAGATTTACTGGTTTCACTTTTTGTTTGAGGTGTACATTTATAATTTACACTTAGATGCAAATGTGACTTGGAATTGACTGAGGTACCATCGGGTACATTCTCATATTTCCTGATATGGTTTTTAGTATGAGTCTTTCTGTATATTCATTAGAGAAAATCAAACATTATGACTGAGTGACATACTTTGTTTAAAGTGACTAAATGCACATAACTATGCACTTATCAACATCTAACAAGGCCAGTTTAACTTGATGCTGCGTCTGTTCAATAATGTACCAACTCCCATGTGCTTGGCAGCTCATATGCACCAGATCATTACAGTGAATTCATGTGATGGCCATGATATTTTTTGAAATATTTTATTTTTCTTAGGCTCAGTGTGAAAGGAATGTACAGTTTTGATTTACAGAAAATAACAGTGATGAATCTGATCACATAATCACAGCAAAAGCGAATATTGAAATGTGTTTAAAAACAATACTATTTTTAAAAGACACACTCTTTTATTAGGAATTAAAATGAACCTGTGTCTCATCTAAACACTTACAACAGAAGTGCAGTTTCTTCTTCACACATCATATCAGTGACTGTCTATTAAAACCGAATCAAACCTTCGTACATTACAGTGCAATCTGTCAACTACTGATTCAAATGGATTAAATAATCAATGTGAAACACAATCCTCTCGTGCTCAAACAACTAATGTGATGAATCAAAATGTCAGGGTATAAAAATGTAATGCACAATAATGTATACAGCAGATCAGTTGGCAGAGCAGCACTGGATCACTTTAAGTCCAGAACACGACACAGTTCAGGTCCACAGTCATGTTAATGTTCGATAGCGTCAGTCTTTGCATTCGATCTTAGATCTAAATTTACACAATATATTGCTTTCATTATTAGGATTTGGGAATGTTGTTTTTAGTTTAGAGGAACAGGTTTGGATATATCAGATAAAGCCTTTGTCGTGAGGGCCCCTACACTTTGGAACAATCTGCCAGAGGAGATTAGACTATCAGAATCAGTTATCTGTTTTATCTCACCTCCTAAAACACATTTTAACAGAAAACCCCCTTTATATCGCATGAGGTCTATGACTTTTGTTATCTGTGTCTTTATAATTATTATTGTACTCTGTTTGTGATTTTCATATTGTTTGTTGTAAAGCACTATGTTACCTGTATTGAAAAGTGCTATACAAGTAAAGCTATTATTATAAGTCAGATGGCTGAATATTTAAGCTTTCTGTGTGTGACAAATGACACATACTTAATACATTTAGAATATCTGGGGAAATTAGTATTAGTAATTAGAAATATTAGTAATTGTAGCTTCTCAATGTTGTTTTTATGTGCTGTTATGGGGACCATGGGTCTCACAGTTGAAAACTGAACCAGATGAAGAAAATGACTGGAAAATACAGATTTGAAAAAGACCAGTTAAAAACCCAGATGTTCTACAAAGAGCCCATGAACAAGAGTCATTGCAAGTTCTTCCATATGCAGTTTTATAAAAAGTCAAATGGTCACTAATGTAAATGTGTAAACTGAGAAACATACTACTACTGATCATATTATTGTTAAAGGACAGTGAATGTGTTTTCATGCTTGGGTGTCTTTACATTTATTTTTCTGAACATGACACTCAAATACAGAAGTTGCTTTTGAGCCTGGTTCCATACATTTCTCATTAGGTACCTGTTTGGTTGATCTGTTAGAACCCAGAAAATACATCAGTTACAGTTATGGAATTATAATGTTTTTCATTTGATGGATTCCATTTGGCAAAAATGATTCTGTAGCAGATTGGTTCATCATTTTAAAAAAAAAGTCACTGTGGGTGATGTCAGTGCAATGAACACAGCCTTATTGTCAGAGTGCATGCACTGACATAATTTCCCAAAATGCACGGTTTGTTCAGGGACATGGAGTAATCGACCCATGACTCAAAAAAACATTAAACAAGCAACTGATGAAGAGACAAACATGGGTCCAGGCTCAAATTTGGAAACTGTGGCTTTGTTATTAAACTGAGTCATTAAATTAATTTAATCTAATGCTTCATGTTTTTGATCAGTAACTTAAAAATAAAACCCGGTTGCTTTTCTTGCCATCATGCAATAACTTAATATACCTGGTGGACCACAAAGAAACAATAAAAGGAAGCGGGGAGGATTTTGTCTGTAGTTGGGATGTTTCTTTTGTGCTTAGTCAGGTTTCTTCTCACTTCTAAATATGTGCAGGAATACTATTGACATTATCACTGAGCAAGGTGCTGACCTCTGAACTGCAGTTGCTCTCCAGGCACCGCTGCTAAATAGTTTGAAAGGGTTAAATGCAGAGAACAAATTTCCCCTGTGAGGTTTAAAAAGTACCATAATAAATTATTCTGTGGGACGTCCCATCCCACAACCATTGACATGTCCCCATTTATATCAGTGAGAATAGTACACAGGTCCTGCAGCAGCCACTGTGGCTTGAAAATCAGCACTTACTGAACGTGTCAGACAGTAATGGATGTAATCGATCAGTTACAATGCATAAAATGGTCGGCTAATTTAGCAAATGAAGGCACTGAAAAATGAGTAGTTGATAAAAATGTCACAATAGTGGAGAGATCTGCAACATATTAACGCAGCATCAGTCTCATGTTACAGAATATGAAGAGCGAGGGAGTACATTTCCATTTCATGAGGCGAAAAAGCTGGTGGGCTTTGACACGAAGAGGGCAAACGTCTTCTCCTTTGGTGACGTCACTATCTGTCCTGGTTGTCCGAGGCATCCTCAGAGGGAGTGTCTAGGACGGGATTGACAAACCCTTCAAATTCAGTGTTTGCACTGTCCTCTGGGTGAGTACTCACAAAATCATTCTCCCACTCCAATGCGTTGGAGTCCTCAGAGGTCGAGGTCGGGCCGCTGGTCATCTGCTTGCCGCCGGGCCTCAGGGCTGCACGCAGGATGTCCTCCTCCGTCCGAGACCTCTCCCAGGCTGGAAGTGCCCGATTGATTCCTACAACATTAGGACACAGGCATTCGTTTTCTCAGCAGAAGTTACAGAAGACAAAAACTGCTGCAGGCAGTCAACTGACTCAGAGGGGCCACAACCCATATGGCCTGTTCCTACATGAGACTATCTAATGCACATTCTAATCTTAACATACTGCACCTTCATTCCATGGAACCCAACCTGCGAGGACATATCCCAGTGATATGTACACATGACTGAGCTGAATAGGTTTTGTAGTGGGGAATAAAAATCAATAAACCCATGCAGTCCCAAAGTGCCCTGCCCTAGAACAACGCATACTAATACAAATAACATGGATGACACTCCGTAGAGTTCATACCTCAGCCAAGGCCCAACAGTCCCCTTATTAAACCACATTTAAATTCACTGGATCTGGATTTTTATTTGGATCTGCTCCTAATTGTGCACACTAATAAATATCAGTCTCCTACACATGTGTGAT